CACAGTGTTCTGCCTTAAATTGTGGCGTTTTTCTAAGAACTGGGCCTTTGTACTGTGCGAAATCAATGGATCATGCGAGAATAAATTTCTGGACATCCCTATTCTAAGAATTCCAATTGAGTGTGTTAGTGTGGCCAGCTCAGGGCAATATGATATTATAAACACATCACATCACGTCTCTGCTGTTTATAACTTCGCAGCAAAGGAAACACGACATTCATTACGGTGAAACCGCTAGCAAGAGCCACAGGAACTTTGCTGCAAGACAGGCATATGTAACAATGACTTAGCGCAGATAAAGACGTGTCATATTATACTCTGTTCTACTGACAACAGGCCAGCGAAAAATCTAACAATCTACAGCAAAACCATCAATTATTATGGGCGTAATAACATAGGTGTGCAGCTGGACGAAACATACATGTCGAACCCCCCCCAGACGATTTAAATCCCTGACGAAACATACACGTCGAACCACGGCAACGGGTTAACGTACGGACTTTTAAATTGCCGGGAGCCCTCTGCAGCCAATATTTAAATCGCCCTAATTAACATTGCGAAGTTTCAGAAAAAAATCCATATTTTCCGTTCTATGCAACATAAAAATACAAACTAATAACAACCTCAAAGACAATAAAATTTTCTACATATACACAAAAGAGCAATTTTTACAAACTAAAATTAACTGTGATTATTTTGTCATGAATTGCAAAATATAATCTTTATTATATATGTTATGAAATTCCAAAGGACTTACCCGTTGTTTTTTCTTCAACCTTGAATCATGGTGATATTCTAAATATAATCACACTATATACAATATTATTTTGTTCAGACTGTACACGAGTTTGAACTGCGTCACTTCACAGTTTACGATACACTCTGATGAGGGTAGCACTTCTCGAAGCAGCCAACCTCACACAAAGCGACATCGCACTTTTTACAATAGAAGAGCGTGCTCCTGCTTTTCTTATTTAGTGAAACACACGACGTCTTTGTTTCCTTTTGGTTGGCCAGTGTTGTGAATGTTTCACCTCCAGTCAACTCAGCTGGGCCCCAGGTAACCTTGGCCTCCCGAGAAACGCCACTGACCATGATATTCAGCTTGTGCAATTGAAGAATCACCTTTGGGGAGGGGGGTTTCTAGCAAAATTGAATAAATTATGTTGATTGACAAAGCGACACTCTCACCTGTTGGAAATACTCGCAAAATAGTGATGCCAAGTAATTATAATACAAGTCGAAAAGAGTGCCAGTCCAACACATACTGAAAGTCGCAGTGGCGAAGATGCCTTTTACTCACAAAGTAATACTGGCTCAATGGGTTTATACCTCTTCCAAGACGCAAAATAAAAATGATATATAAAGAAATATGACCATGGGGTTGTGCAAGTACTACCCATGTGGGGATCCGCCCTGAAATAGCCTATTCTCATTGGGTGTTCATTTTCCTCTTATCAACTTGCCCATATACAGTCATTTGGCTGGTGCATGATTCTTTTATGCGAGCACTTTGGAATGGCTGACTGGCGGATACCGCATGCACTCACTGGTATGATCTCATACGGTTTCCGGTCAGTCATCCTGTTGACCATCCCATCCATTCCACTGCGTCTAAGTGTTAAAACTGATTGCCGCCTATATCATGGCATAACAATATATATGTGCGCGCACGCACGTGTTACTTACCAAGCACTCTTGATGCTTGGAATTGTTCCTCAAGAGCTGCTTCTACTTTGGCTAGCCTCTCCCGAGCTTTGTATTTCTTCTCCACTTTTTTTGACCGCTTCTTGTTCAATACAGCTTCATCTGCTTCAGTCTAATGTAAGATATAACCACTTATTTTCATGTATCTTGCAGTTCATGCATACACAAAAAAGATATAACACAAGAAATGTGAAACTGTGTGATAGAGATACACAATACATAAACTATTTTATAAAGTAAAACAAAAACACACTTCAGAAGTTCAGTCAACACCCAAAGCATAATTAACAAAACAATGAAGATATGTGGGTACAAGTAAAGTTATCCTTGTACGTAATTATGTAATTAAGCAATATGCCATGATGACAAGTAGTGGAGTGGGAGTACAGCTCCACCATTCTTGACCTTACCATTAAGCAGAGGTCAGTCGTCAGTTTGACGTCCCTGCTGCTTTAACTCTGAGGACTGTGTCCCTGGTACACATTGACAGTGGGCTGGGTGGGGCCCAGAGCCAGTCTGGACCCTATGGAAAAGAGAAACATCTCTTGTCCATCGGGAATTCAATCATGGCTATTCAGCCTGCAGCCTTGTCACTACGACTTATCCCAACTCTTTAAGTTATGGAGGATGACAAGAAATTAAGATTACAAGGTCTGTTATTAACTGATAGAAAGTGTATAGAGTGTACAACAGCTGTAGCATCATAAGTGTATTTACTGGCTTGGCAACATTGCACAACCAACTCGTACAGGAGCATGAAATCACTGTACAAAGGAAGTTCACAATGGTGTCAAGATGGGGGGATTGTGCGCAATAACCCATTGGTAATGATTTACGTGTGCGAAGAAAGCACTAGCAGCCAAAATTAATCACCAGACTCTTGATGTTTACAGCAAAACATCTGATCACAACATTTAACCCAACGACGAAGATAATTTCGTGCTGGAAATGAAACATGTGGACAGGTCAACACCACCCATACTGAAATGATTCAGCACATAGATGTGTGACATTATAGCCATGTGGTCCATAAAATCATTAGAATATTTTGAAGCAGCATACTCCACATGCATTAAGAAATGCATGCTGGGAAAGTCTTACTGAACTGCAATGTTATAAGAAAAGGGGAAACTGCCTTCCATAACTACTGTTACTGTGAACATGAGCGACCATCTTATGTTGAAGTAGTGGAAGCTGTCACCTTCAAACCCCCCAAATTTGAGGTTACTCTCTGCAGATGTGCTGTTGTTTAAGAACCTGGACCATGACCACACAGTTAACGCAGAGGCATATTATGCTAGGCAGCTGCCCCCACAGGAAGTGATTCAAAGAAAACTGGGTCCCTGTAGTCACCATGCCCAGCCACGTAGTGCATGGCAAAAGATGTGCTGCAGACTGCAGTGGGATGTGCTCCAGCATCCACCCCACAGTTCTGACATTTCACCTGTTTCAGTTGTTGCAACAGACGAAGACATGAAACACACCATAAGTGATTGGTTCAGCGATCAGTGACCTGCTCTATGTGCCAGAGAAACTGCTTTCATGCAGTGAAGAGTGCCATAATATATTTCATGATCATCCAGACAAGCATAACTCATGACCATGCACTGCATATTGAATTTTTAGCATAATGCATATCTGCAGAAACTAAGACCCTGTACTCTTAACTTCTGATCAACCTTCACATATAAACAATTCATTTTTACTTAGGTTGGCACAGTAATTCAAACACATTTTGTTCTTCTTCATTATAAATGTCTGAATATATTACGGAAAGATTAAATTACAGGAAAAGTTCCACAGAATGAGAAAGGGGAAGGTTGGAAAACTTTAAAATAAATACACATACAAAACATGAAAGTATTACTTTGGCAACATCAGAAACCAATTATAATCAGGTGTTCAGATGACACGCATGAATAAATGAATCATCACATTGCCAATATTATTTTTATAAAAGGATTATACAGTAAAACCCATATTATACAATTTCATTTCTAGCAGAGGAACAGATAAAGGAATATGAGAAAAACCTGTTGGCATACAGGCGAACTACTGGAACATGTATGGTTAGGTTAGTTGTAGCCACAACGAAGTAATATATAAAAAATCAGTATTTTACAACAGAATATTTCCTGCTAAATGTCTCGGTCTCAAAGGACCATCAACAGCCAGTGATACAATAGGTCTAGGGTCACTGAACTCTTAATATGAACCACATTTGGTGCAATGAGTCATAGTCTGTTACAGAATTTTTGTCCAAGCATAAATATTGAAATTAAGAATATGTATAAAATATCAAGGATATGCTGAAAATGTATTAATATAATGTGACATGTTGCGCAAAGCCGAGCCCCCCCCCACACCAGCAGTGACGCGGCGGGTGAGTCAGCGCTCCCCTCCCACCCCTCAGCGGTAACNGTTCGATTCCCGGCGCCACCAGATTTTCTGAGTAGTGGGTCTGGAACAGGCCCCACTCAGCCTCGTGAGGATAATGGAGGAGCTATTTGAAG